TCTACTGGGACCAGAGAGGTAGCTCAGTGGTTAAGAGCACTGGCTGCTCTTGCAGAGGACCTGGGTTCAATTCCCAGCACGACACAGGTGTACTAACATACATCCAGGCAATACACACACACACACACACACACACACACACACACACACACACAAACCAGCAATTTACCAGTAATACCTACAACCTAGTGGTACTTTTGTAAAACATGCTCCCTGAGCCCTCACTAAAAAACACTGTGCACTCAGAAAGTCATGCACTAATTTTTTTTCAAGAATTAAAACTAAGGGACTGGAGAGATGGTTCAGCAGCTAAGAGCACTGACTGCTCTTACAAAGGGGAGGACCCAGGTTTGACACCCACATGGCAGCTAACAACCATCCATAACTTCAGTTCCAGGGGCTCCCATGCCTTCTTCTGACCTCTGCATGACACAGGTGCACTTACACAAATGCAGACAATACACTAGTACACATAAAACAAACATATATATATATGTACATATATATAGATAGATAGAAACTGAAACATGTATTTCCATTACCCTAAATTGTTAATTAGAAAGAACACTCAATGTCCTGCTTGTTTTATTTGAGAAATCATGGGGTACCTTAGAGACTATTATGGAATTTCAAACATACCTCACAAAGCAGTCCTAATAGAATGACTTGGCATGACAATAAAACTTAAAAAAAAAATAGCAGCAGCAGTAAAGTGCCTTAGAGATAAATCTATCCCTGGGTAAGCAAGCTACACCCTCAAAGTGTTGACTGATGCCTAGGCACAGATTTCTAAGCCATTCTTCTAGAAGCATCTTATATTTCATCATCTCTTTATACTTTATCCTAAACACTAAGTTGCATGTATCATGTCTTGGGATCTTTGTCTCCCACACAGCTTCTATTTTAGGCCTGGTGATGGATACAAGGTTCATTTCTGAACCTGATTTGATATCCTTGAGCTTCAGCTTCCCCTCAGGAATGTAACTGCTATTGCAGTTACAATATGTAACCTCTGAAGCCTAACCAGTGTTTACAAAGTAGACTAGCTAGAAAATCCTACCTAAAAGTGACTTCAGAGTAGTAGTCTAGCTAATCAAATTTACTAACCCCACATGTTCAAAAGGTGATTTAAGAAATATCTGAGAGAGAGAGAGAGAGACCAAGTAAATAATGAAATGCTCTGAAGACAATCTGTCCTTCACAGTGAACTAACTGTCAGTAGATGCAATTTCAATTTATTTTTTCATGTATTACAATGTGTAAACAGACAAGGAAAACTAGTAAACTGACTTATGTGACTCATGGCTATCAAGAGCCAGCAGATGGCTTGTAAGTGACCCTGCTAGTAAATGAATATGAGGTCACACGGCTTGAAACCCAGGATCCACAGCTGTTGACACCCAGTGGTTGCTATCTTTGGCAGCTCCAAATGAGGGCATCTGCGAACAGCCAACACGGCTGGCACTGAGTGTCACCATCAATTCTGAATCACACTAACTCAGCCCTCTTTCCAAACTCTGCTGTACAGATCTGCTTATTCACCAATGGCCAAAGCAGCACCTTTCTAACAAAAAGGACCCTTTCTAAAAACTCGAGATGAAACACGCAATTTGATTTAGAGCTCTACTAACAGTTGATCTTTTTGTCATCTATTATTTATCTACAAATAAATATTCTGACAATATAGCTGTCTCTAAAAAAAATCTATAACCCCCCAACACAGGTGTTGATATAAAACCACAAAATAATTTACAAGATATTGCTTGCCACAAAATCAGGATTGTTTGCAATAAGGCTTAATCTGTAGCTATGAAGATGCTTGTGGCGTGATTCACGATCATTTGTCCTTTAATTTCATTTCAGAGTCAATGCCTCTTCACAGTCAGGAAGCAATTTCTTAAATCAAGTTTAGATTATTACTATTAGAAGTCAAAAGCACAGAGCACATGCAACAAAACTCCCCAGAACCAAGAAACATAAATTGGTCTCAGTCAAGTAATAGCATGCAAATTACTTACAAAAATGTGTAGCTTTAACTGACCAGGAAGAGGCAACTAAGTATTCAGGAACTAAAACGACAAAACTTTCCACCAATTCTGTAGTTCTTTTGTGGTCTTCCTGTGGCTCACAAATGCTCCCAGGAGGCCCATAAGTCCAGCTCACAACTAGTGATCTATATTTAGTGTTGATTTAGCCAACAGTGTAAGAGTCCCAATAGACTTTCCCCATAATGGCTAGATTTTTAGAAATACGTTCCGATTTTTAGAAATACGTTCCTGAAAATTTGCTTTAAAACAACAAACCACCCAGCCTTGACTCAGTTGGCAACTGATGAGGTTCATACTACATTGAAGCTAAAGTCTGTATTTAGCTGAAGTGACTGGGTAAGCCGACACCACATTTCCAGCACTTCTGCTGTGGTATGCTCCTATGTATAAATACCCGGCAGAAGGCAGGAGCTGCCACGGCTGCAACTGATGTGTGGGGACTGACCAACCAGAGAGCTGCAGTAAACAGGGAGAATATGGTTGTGACATCACAACTGGGATAGCAGGTGTTAAGCCAGCTTTCCATGGCTATAACTAAGTTTCCAAGATGGGTCCACTTTTAAAAAGGAAAGATTCTATCAGCCCACTGTTTCACGTTTTGTCCAGGGTGCCTTAGCTACACTGCCTCAGATCGGTGGCAAGAGAAAACTTCATGGTAGAGGGTGTGGCAGAAGCAGCTGCTTGCCCAATCACAGCAACCAGAAAGTAAATAAAGGGCCAGATCCCAAGGCTGCCTTCAAGGCATACCAATGACCTGCCTTCCACCCAGCCCAACTCCTAAGGTACCCCCATCTCCCAGTGGTGCAGGCCACAGGCTACTGACCAAGCCGTCAACACCTGGCTGTGGGGAAACACTCAAGATCTAAACTATAGTAGGTCAGGAGCTCCTAGGGCCTTCAAATAGTGACCACAAGTGACTGAGTGGGAAGACTCATGGTTCCCAGCCCCAAACACTTTCTTCTGAGCATTGTCACATCTGCTTTTCAGGAATGCATCTTCTGCTTGTTTTCCTCAGACATACCAAGGAGTTTCTGTCCTCTGCTGTAGAAAGACTACAGTGAGAACTGCAGTCAGGAAGTGTGCCAGATCACAGGGGTGAACTGTCCCAGGATGCTGCTAGGCTGTGAACAGATCTGCAGTTCTCTAAAATCCTGTTTTCCTTGCCATGTCTGTCTGCACATTATCCATCCTCAAAACTTACACAGAGATGAAGCTTGACTCCAAATACTCCTTCACACCTGTCTGGATGAGACTGGGTCTAGTTAGAATCCTGACAATGACCTGGGCAGGGCAGGATGGCCCACTTTTTCTCTTGCGTATCTTGAGCTATAAGAAAACACCAACCCATGAATTCTCCATTCTGGGGACATTTTCAAGAATTTCGGGCTGGAGATGGCTCAGCAGTTAAGAGCACTGGTTGCTCTGCCAAAGGACCTGGGCTCAGTTTCCAGAACCCACATGGTGGCTAACAACCCCAGTTCCAGGGGATCCAATGCCCTCTTCTGACTGCCACAGACATTGCATGACATGGGTGCACTTGCATATGTACATTCTACAAAGCCATACAAATAAAATAATAAAATATTTGGGGCTGGAGAGATGCTCAGTGGTTAAGAGCACTGGTTGCTCTTCCACCTCTGT